GAGTGGCCTAGTGCTTTTCCCTACTTTCTTCAATTTAAGCCTAAAATTTGCAACAAGTAGCTCATGATCTGAGCCACTGTCAGCTCCTGGTCTTGTTTTTACTGACTGTATAGAGCTTCTCCATCTTTGACTGCAGAGCACATAGTCAATCTGATTTCTGTGTTGACCATTTGGTGATGTCCATGTGTAGAGTTGGCTCTTGGGTTGTTGGAAAAGAGTGTTTGCTATGACCAGCGTGTTCTCTTGACAAAATTCTATCAGCCTGTGTCCTGCTTCATTTTGTACTCCAAGGCCAAACTTGCCTGTTATTCCAGTTATCTTTTGGCTTCCTACTTTAGCATTCCAATCCCCCATGATGATAAGGACATCATTTTTTGGTGTTAATTCTAGAAGGTGTTGTAGGCCTTCACAGAACTGGTCAACTTCAGCCTCTTCAGCACCAGTGGTTGGGGCATAGACTTGGACTATTGTGATGTTGAATGGTTTGGCTTGGATTCAAACCGAGATCATTCTGTCATTTCGGCGATTGTATCCCAGTACTGCTTTTCCTACGCTTTCATTGACTATGAAGGCTACTCCATTTCTTGCCTGCAGTAGTATACCTGATGGTCATCTGAATTAAATTCACCCATTCCTGTTCCTTTTAGTTCATTGATTCCTAAGATGTCTATGTTCAGTCTTGTCATCTCATGTTTGACCACGTCCAGCTTACCTTGATTCATGGATCTTACATTCCAGGTTCCTGGAACATTCCAGGTTCCTCTACTAGTACTAGCCCTCTGCTCTTCCCTAGTAGCACATTAGACACCTTCCAACCTGAGGGGCTCATCTTTCGGTGCCATTTTGTTTTGCCCTTTAGAACAGTCCATGGGGTCATGGCAAGGGTACTGGAGTGGGTTGTCATTTCCTTCTCCAGTGGATCACCTTTTGTCAGAGCTCTCTGATATGACCTGTCCATCTTGGGTACCCCTGCACAGCTTAGCTCATAGCTTAATTGAGCTACACAAGCCCCTTCGCCACTGCAAGGCTGTGATCCATGAAGGGGGATTGCAACCTTACAAACTCTAATTCTTCTTTATTTCTCCTAGCTAGACCAATTCACTTCACATCAACCTTTGCAACTTTGGAACTACAACCCAGTCCTTTCAAACCCAGACTTACTACACATGTCCACAGTCCATTTTTCCATGCACAGCACCCCTTGGTTAGACACTTGGCTATCTAGCCATAGTTAACTTATAATTAGTTCTTAGGGATAGCCATCGGTAGATTACTGGCTATCTCTTTTTTCACACTTTTCAATGCTGTATGACCATCTTATGATATAGAAGACCCAATAGTATAGTATGATATAGAAGATCCAAAGTAAGACTCTCTTACTTTGAACACCCAGGAAACATGGTTCTGCATAGTCTACAATATTCAGCCTACAATACAATATACAAAGAACCTTATGAAAAATTTCTCTGATTTTCCCCCCATGAAAACCATTTTCAATCCTGGATACATACAAAGGACAGGTGATTAATTCATTGATTTCACAAGAACATAAGTATGGCATATCTGATCTTTGGGTTAAAGTTTAGTTTACTTTATAGATGAACCTGTTATCACCATTCACAGCAAAACCTACACTTCTCCCTGTGAAAAAAAGTTTTGTGAATGCTTTTCACTAAGAGATTACAAACACTAGATGGCAGCATTATAGAACTATATTTAGCTGTTAATAATTTCAGTACATAATAAAGCGGGAATGGTGGTTATCTTCAGTAGACATCAATAAGGTTTTCGGCTTTATCTAAGACATATATCACTCTTTAACAATATATAGAAATATAATTATATCAGGTTAAGTTTAAAATGGGAAATACATTACATTAAGAGCCCAGCAGTTTTGAAAGTGGAGTAGTTAATTTCCTAAATGTGGAGCGATGTGGCTGCAGTATCTTTCTTTGTGCTTGAGGGAAGAGGAAGGCCACACCTTCCCACAGTGGCAGGACACAAGAAATAGGCTGTTGTTGGAGGACGATGGAGATCTCCCCTTGTATGGGGAACAACCCAGGAATCAAACATTGGGCGAAAGAAAAGCAGCTGAGCATGCTCAGGATTCAAGGTGTGAGAACATCCCCACATACCATTCTAAATGGCAGCTGCCACAAGACCACTGCTTGAGAAATCAAAGAACATCCGTACCTTATTTACCTGCCTGAGATGTAAGGGTACAGAGGAAGGCAACAAGGATGATTCAGGGTTTGGAGGCAAGATCAAGAGAACCAGGCATGTTCAGCCTCAAGAGAAGACTGAGGAGAGAGTGCCTCAATGGCTGTCACAAAGAGGAAGAACAAGATCTCATAGTTTATTCCGGAGCCCTGGACACAAAATAACAGGCTTAAGTTGAAAGAAGCCAGATTTACACTGGAGACCTGGAAGAATTTCCTCACTGTCAGTGCAGTAAGACAATGGGACCTCATATCTGGAGAATTTGTGGGCTCTCCCTCACTGGAGACATTCAAAAAGGATCTGGACAGTCATCTGAATGGGATGGTATGATTGCAATAGCAGTGTTGGATTCGATGGCCTTCTGGCCCCTTCCAGCTCTTCTTTTCTAAGACTCTATCATTCATACAAAGACTAAAAATGGAAACACAGAGAGCATAGGGCTTCCCCTTTGTTTCTGCAGGGAGCATCCATGGCACAATGCTAAAGCACCTGCTTTGTGTGCAAAAAGCCCCAGTTTCAATCCCCAACATCTCTGGGCAAGCCTAAGAGACTCCTGCCTGAAACGCCAGAGAGTTGCTGTCAACACAGACAATACTCAGCTAAATGAACCAGCAGAGAAGCTTCCTACCTACCACTCACACCCACTGAACCACCCATATTACTGCAGGACACAAGCAGACTGGCCTTGATGTGCACACCCAATCAAGTACAAGAGGGGAGAGGGAAAAATGGATTTTATTTGCAATACTATGTTGAATCACAAGAGAAAGGGCAATCCACCAAGAATGCCTGGTACATTTCCTTCTGTACCTTCTGTGACCAGGTAGCAATAACAGACACTCATTGGACTGAAATTCCCACCATGGATGCTGATTGGTACATTTGAATTCTAGTGGTTTCCGCTTACCTGGGGTTCAGAGCAGTGTAGGATTTCACAAGCCCTGCCTCTGTTACTTGGCTCCAATTGCTTCAGCATTACGAAAACGTGACTAGCTTGCTGCATTTAATGCCGGCCAGCCTGGTTATGTCCTATACAACCCTACTACAAAGACATATAGCTGGCTGGTGATGTTGGTCGGTCCACCCTTCATTTGAGTAATTCCTTCCCCTTGGGGTAGCCCTCCAAGCAATACAAAAAGATTAAACCAATCTGCAACAGTAAGAATTGATCCTTGTCTAGAAAACCAAATTTCTCTGAGCTACAATCAATGGTATTTGCATACACCACCTATTCTTTTCTTTTCCTTTTTCCTTCTGACAGTTCTCCTACACATTAATCATGAATGAAAGAGAGGAGATGGAGAACCTTGAACTCCTTAATGACAAACAAATTTTATTAGTGTGTGGGAAAGGAGAAAAAAGCCACATTTCACAATAATAGAAGATTTTATTTATAACAATAGCACAATGCCTTTTTGACTCTTGCAACAAGCTGTTGCTATGGCCTTTGCTATTTTCCAAGAGGCTACTACTGGTGCAATCCCATTTCCTTGAATGAAATCAGGGTTGCCTATGATGATGCCTCCGTCAAATACTTGGAGCTCCTGTGCAGTGAAACAATACAATAAACCCATATCTTCCTGCACTGCAGAATGTTGAAATGCTAGGAGCAGCTGCGTTTTCCATTCCTCCTTTGAAAATATTGGGGGGGGGGATACCCTGGTGACAAACATAATGGAAATACTGTTTATCAATGTATTTTTCTTTAAACTTTTAAATAAATACTTTATGTAGCTTCTTAAATGGTTGGAGTTTTTTTGTAGAAACTATGACAGACATGCATTCCAATGGTCTTGAGACATAGGTCACACACACACACACACACACACACACACACACACACCCCCCCACATGCCAAGTTGGATTATGGTGAAAATGTGTCCATTAAGCATTGGTAAGGCAGGGTATGATCCTGCTTTGCTGACATGGAGCAATTGTTCATCCGTGATTTACATGGGTTCGTACTGCAAAGTTTTTGTGCAAGTATTGAGTGGATTCCTCTGAGTGTCAGCATATGCTGCCTTTTGATAAAGTGGCATCAAACTATTACAGGCTGGGTGGAAGGAGGTAGAAGAAGAAGGAAACACATTTCTACCTTTTCAAAGTACTCGGTTCAACTGTTTCTGTAATCCAAACACTTGGAAGACAATTAACAGAGCTCTGACAACATTGCCAACCCGCTGCAGTGTGCCTTATGCCAAACTCCATTGTTATTTTATTGACCATGTTCACTATTACATATGCATATGAAAAAACCCAAAGCTTTTTCATCAGGATTACCCTAATAGCATTAAGAGATTATTTTTTAAAATTTCATTGGAAGAAAATTCACTTAAATGAGATTACTTATTACTTGACTGGTTTCCTATCATGCTGTTATGTTTAGGTAAGTGGAGAACATTGGAGTAGTATTATTTTTTTTAAAAACTGATTTTATACATTAATGATTTCAAATAAAAGGGAAGTGCTATATTTGTGCTCTGGTTCTTTTGAGAAAGTTAAGTCTGATGTTCTGGTTAGAGGAGATAACACTTCTTGTCCCTCTTGGTGGCCCCCCTGGTGTCACCATTAGTTGCTAATTACTTGCAAACAAATAAACAATTAACTCCTCGTGCCTCTTGGTGGGGGAATCTTCATTGACATGCTAAAACTTTCTAATAAAAGATTTTAATTAATGACGTGGCAAATCCAACCTCCCTGTCAACAAAAGCTGTAAGGAAGACCTGCAAAGGAAAAACCTGAACTATGGTGCGTTTGGTACCTAGATGGATGAAACAAGAATGGCAAGCAGTTCACTTTGTTCTCTCGGTGCAACCTCTCATCATCATCCCAACAAATCCAGGCTTGGGGAAAACAAAAACACGGCGTGTTCCTTTTCCATTGAAAGCATTTTGGGGTTGGAGCGGAAAAAAGATGGCCCTCCAGCTGCAAAGCCTCACAGGCCGTGGGTGGATAAATACAAGGCTTTGGGTAAGATGGAAGCTTCAGCATTCTTAAGTTTTTTAAACCTTGTGGTCAGGTTTGATACTACAAACCGTGTGCATCTATCAGATAAGTTGGAATGAAAATATCAGGTAGCTCTCCTTGGCTTTGCCTAATTTTGAAATTAGGAAGCCCAACATCTCAGGAGTTGCCATATTAAAATACTTTTGGATTTGTGACTTTCCAGGAGAAGATTGCAGCCGCTGCCTGCCTATTCCTGCTATTTCCTATGCAGTCCCTTTGTTTAATGCAAGCAAGTCCTCAGAGGCAGAAGAAAGAGTCCTGAAATGCGAAAACTATTCTGCAGTCAATGAAAGGCTTTCTTACAAAAGGGAATTGAGTTGGTACAGAGGTAGGAGGCCAAGGACTGCATTCACGCGAAACCAGGTAGGGATTTAGTACTTTTAACCTATTCACAGAGCTAAGAATGGATGTTTTGCTTTGCACATTGTTTAGGAGGAGCGCATTTATTAGGAAGAATTCAGAAGTGCCTATTTCACTCAAGTCTTTATACTTGCACATTTGCTGAATAAAAAGATCTACGGTAATAATAAGCGCTTCTGTTTGTCCGACCTAGCTTAGCTTATTTCAGTTGAGTTGATACATATAGGGTTAGAAGTCAGCCAGAATCTTTATAAGAAGATTCAACTTCACTTGAAATAATTAGTGGGCATTTTTGTTTCTGTTTTTTTTTTTTTTTCCTGCAGTGGAAATAAATAATTGCGTTTCTGTTTATCCTCCCTAGATTGAAGTACTGGAAAATGTTTTCAGGGTGAACTCTTATCCTGGCATTGATGTTAGAGAAGAACTTGCTAAAAAATTGGATTTAGATGAAGACAGAATCCAGGTGACTTTTAAAAAAGTTTTATTTTAATATTTGAGTGTTTGCAAGTGTGTTGTCAGCTCAATACTTGTCACAGTGAATGGAAATAATAGTGCTGTGCCAAGATTCTGACCACCACTGATGCGGCTGCCTTTGGGGTGTTTTACAGGAGGAAAAGCAGAAAAAAAGCCCCCCGTATTTCTTCATTCCGCATGTATTTGCATTAATATAAACTTATTCTGAAACAACTGGATTTGCTTTGCCTACCAGCAAGCAAGTTACCAGGATTTAAGAGATCAGATGTGTGATCCTATCCATATTTACTTAGAAGTAATTCATACAGAGTCCAGTGTGATTTAGCCCCATCTAGAATTGCAGCCTACAGAAGGTTATAACTTTTATATTAGCAAAAGTTAAGGCTTTGGTCCAAAGCAAATTTACCAGGGTTTAACCCCAGTGAACACAGTGGGACATATATCACAGTAAACCATTAGAGGATTGCACTGTAGTCTCCAAACAGCTATGGTAGTTTAATAGTATGAGAAAATTAAAATAGTAGCTAACATATTTACAAAGAAAGTTGAGTTGAAAATGCTGACCATTTGAAAGTGCATTGGAAGTACTGTAAGCCTGCTTCAAGCAATTTTTGTTTAATAAAAATTCAGATTAATTGCATGTATATTGAATGTCATTTAGTGTATTCTTTTCATGTCCCAGTCATGATTTCCATGTGTTCTGCTTTTGGTCCAGAATATTAATGAATTGCGAAACTTCCTGCTTTAGAAGCTGCCAATGAGTTTCCTCTTTTGCTTTAACTTTGTTTTAGTACTTAATCCTAAAAGTAGTGTCACATTTTGGGGTAATGGGAGATGTTAGTATGTCACTAAATTATCAAGAATCCAGAGTCAGGTCGTTATAAGCCAGGCCTTTCCATGAAACATAGAAACAGAGCAAATCAGAAGGGGTCTTCCGGGCCATCTAGTCTGACCCCAGGCTCCAGCTGGCACTAATCACAACATGCCCACCATGTGCATGTCTAGCCTATCTCTAGCCTATGAAGGCTCCCTTTCAGTGAAAACACAATCAAATATTCCAACACCAGCCATCAAATTTAGCCTTTCTTTACCCATGGACACAAATCTTGTCCTCTTTTGAATTATCTCAACTTTGCCTATAAACATGCATCATAATTCCTTAACCAGATGGGCTAGTTGTTAGTGGGACAGCCTGAGAAGTGTACACACAGGATCCCAGGTTAAATCTCCAGTGTTTCCAGTTATAGCTAGAACTTTCTGTTGGAAAGCCAAGAGAGCTGCTGCCAATTACTGTAGGTAATGCTGAGCTAGGTGGACCAGTAGAACTGCTCCTTTATTTGCCTATGGTAGAATTTCCTTTATGGTAGAAAGTATGAAAACTTTGTACAGTTGTACAGTTAGGCCTCATATTCCAAGGCTTATCATAAAAGCATAGAATACAAGGATTCAACGGGATCAAGAAGGCCATCAGGTTAAACCCCCTGCTGGTGCAGGATACCAAGTTACACTGTCCCACTCAGATGACTGTCTGGTTTCTTTTGGAATGTCTCTAGTGTGCCTGGAGGAATGTTGTCCATGGGGTCCCGATGGGTCGGACACGACTTCGCAACTGACAACAACAACAAGTGTGGGTGGTTCCACTGTCACATTGCTCTGACAGTTGGGAAACTTTTCCTGATATCTAGCTTGAATCTGGGTTGTTGCAGTTTGAGGTGATTATTCCATGTCCTACACTCTGCTATGAGCTGGAAGAGATCTTGTCCTTCTTTGTGACAGCTTTTTGGGTACTTATGAAGTGAAATGTGCCCCCCTCACCCCCGTCTCCTCTTCTCAAGGCTGAACATACAGTCTCATATTCTCTCAGTCTCTCCTTATAGAGCAATGTTTCCAAACCCTTGATCAATTTTCTTGTCCTCATCTGGACCCTTTATGTCCCTTTATGTGGTATTATATTGTCACATGTGTGTATTTTCTTTAAATTTTAGATCTGGTTTCAAAATCGTCGGGCAAAGCTGAAGAGATCCCACAGAGAATCTCAGTTTCTAATGGTGAAAAATACTTTTTCTCAAAACATGATAAAATAGGAAGTTGCCACAGGATTCCCTATTACATTCAGCCACTGTGAATATGAACTGCTCATAAACTGTAATGTGTTATCAAAGAATTATTATGTTAAAATTTGTTGGGATATTATTCAGCTATTTTGAAAAAAGGATTATAAATTCCCTGCTGCATGTAATACACAAATACTATTGTAGCATGTTCCCTGTTAAAAGACTGCAAGTTTTCCTCTAACAAGTTGAATAGGTATTTTCAGATTTTTTTTTAAAGGCTGGTATTTTGCAAGTGTTGTTTGAAGATTTGTCCAACTTGCTAAGCCTTTTTAAAATATATTAAAGGTGACAACATTTCTTTTCAGGAGGGAAATGCACTGGTAGCTACACTTTGCAAATAAAATGTATAAACCCTTCTAAATCCCACTTTATAAATGAAGCTTAGAAAGCCTTAAATACCCTCTTTCCAGCAGGATCCTTAGGTTTTCTGGGGGACCTCAAATGTCCCAAGGGCGCCTTCAGTATTGCAAATGCTAGCATCTTGGGGAAGTGGAAAACTAGCAGAGATCCCACATATATGTGTATGTATTTAATAAATGTCAAAGTGGAAGTTCCATTTTAAAAGTGGGATTTAGAAAGGGTTAAATAGTACTTTTGAGCTGAAAACTGTACAGGTAAATAGAGTCAATTTACACATACAGTTTTGTGCATTTTTTTAAAGGGTAGATGATTGGGGCAGTCCCTTGTAGTTTTCAAAAAGGGGATTGTAAAAGCCAGCTTGACGGCCAGCTTTTGCTGTCTCCCCTCCAAAGGATTTTTTTAAAGGAAAAAACGCTGCTGCATGCTTGAAATGGCTCACAGCAGGGATGGGAGGTTGCCAGGCTGGGCAAAATGGGCAATTTGGCGTGGCCAATTCACCTAGGAGCCATCTGGCTAGAGCAGCAAGGGTATTTTGCCACTTGTGCCATGAGGCTCCGTAGCCAATTCCCCATATGCCTGATGGGGTTTGTCATCTGGGTGACAAGCCACTGTGGATACAGAAACCCCTGGAACAAACTATAGGATGTTGGGGAGATTTGTTGACCAGCCTGGGGAAACTAACATGGGCTCATACAACACAACAATCCATTATGGTAGCAATATCATATCATACAAACACTGTCTTTATTAGCCCCTTTTCTATTATCGTTCTGCCAACAGGCAAATATATTTTTATTCAAGCAGGCCTATGGCGTGTAAGGTGGACTGTTGGGTTGGGTGTTGCTTTTATTTGTTTATTGTTGTGTTTTTAATGGATGATTTTATATTGCTTAAACTGAGCTTTTATTTTAAATTTTGATTATTACTCTTTGCTGCCTTAGTGGGGTATAGAGCAAATAAATACATTCTGTAAGATCTGAATTATTGCTATAGGTTCTTTTGTAAGGTGTGTTTCTGAGTGAGATAGTGTAAATTGGTGTCCTGCGACAGCAGGGGGTTGGACCCAATGGCCTTCTTGACACCTTCCTACTCTACTGTTCTATGATTCCAGAGGGGTACATTTGTTAATTGGAATGCAGTAGCTCTTGTTATCAACATGCCTTTTGCTGGAACATTATAGAGAAAGGTCTTGCATGTACGTGTCTGTGCTTGGTGGGAGCCAGCTATAGAGAGAACACAATGCACACGTGTGGGCAACAATACGTTGAGTGAAAGGGTAAGATTGGAAACTTTTGTAGGAGGAATCCCTTGAATTAAGGGAAACTTAATAAGAAACTTTTGTAAGAGGAATCCCTTGGAAAAAGGAAGAGCGAGCATTTGTGGCATTGTCATTTTCCACAAGAGAGATACCGCTCATTTCATTGCTGGTTTAGAACAAGCTCATTTCTGCCCAACGTGTACATTGAGCAGCTCTGGATCCTAACCGGGTCTTTCTTCTTGTAAGGAAGTGTACAAACACTTCCTTAATCTCCAGCCTCTCTGCACTATATCCCACATCATTTGCAAGGGTTCCCCAATTCTGGGCCAAAATTTTACAGACTGGCAGAGAGGGAACTCTGTTCATTTCACAAAAGCAACATTAGGTCTAAGCCTGCAAATATTTTTTTTTCCCAAAGGGCTATTCTGAAGTGTTATTTATATTCAGGTATGACTGAAGAGCTTGGATATTAGGGATTAATTTTTTCTTTGGACTTGTACAGTGACAATCTTTTAGCTTCTCCTTCCAAATGGTTAGACAAAATTCCAAGCTATCTGTTTAGCATAGCATCACAGTTCTTGGAAGCATATTCATAAATAGTTGCAAATAACTCAGTCTATTTGCTGTTTTGACTACTGTTAATTGGAGGGTAGTTTTGTCATATCTTGAGAATGCTTTCTTTCTTTATATCTCTGACGAAAAGAAAATATGGATAACAGCAGTAACACTAAAACACAACAGTTCAGAAACATGGAGTGATGAAACACGAAGCATTTTTCCAATCCTTTATATAGTTAGGCTGTTTAAATCCCAATATTTAATGAGATTTGAACACCCAATCACCATGTTCAGTACAGCAGCCAAAGCTTTTAGCTACTGCTTAGTTCTTGAGTCAAAGCAATTCTATCATACGCGTGCTTTTCTTCCTCTGTCTCATTAATGAAAAAGGCTATAGGGAGAACATCAGACACAAACGAGTGATTAGTTTGATCCAGTTGGATTCCTGTTTCTTTCTAAGCTGAAAGAAGGGCAAATATTTTTGTCCTTTCATTTATAACAGTTGTAGCAGAACTGATAAAAAGGAGAGTTTTACTAATATTCAAAGAAGCCACAGGAAGCCTTTTGTATCTATGGGAAGCATCCGGTGGTTACACCACAGCTGATTCCTTCCTGTCCTGTGGTTCCCTTTTGTAAATGGTGATTCTCCTGGTCCCATTGTCATGCAGCTTGTTGCAGCATGCTAACTTGGGCAACGTGGTTTATTTGGCATTAAACGTGGGTTGATCTTGGGTTATCTGAGGGTTGCTAATCCTCAAATAACCCCTGGCACTGATTTGTGCATGGCACAACAAGATGTGGTACACTTTCACCATGGCTGCACATTTGAAATTGTGGCAAGAGCCTTATTTGTGACTAAAACCATGGTGGCTTATGATTAGTGTACCAAGTTACAGGGAAGCCTCTCTCAGATCAGAGGATCAGGATCCGTAGAGGAGTTGGCAGCCTTCTACTTAATTCTGCAGCTGACTTTTTGCTTCCCCTGCAGTTTCCCTCTCTGTTCAGCCCTCTGTCCTTTCTTTCTCTTCCGTCACCACATAATAGACCCCATCCTGAATTTCAGGGTGTCCTCAAACAACTACCCTGAGTAAGCCTCATTGTTATGGATTGGATTGATTTCCATACGAGTTGGGTATGCATGGAGCCTCAGTCTTCAGAATGGACTCTCCTATAAATCAGAACTGAGATATGTGAATAAATATTAGGGCAATTTATGGTATTGAGAAAAATTCCCCATTGAAGAGGGGACCGAACTTGTGGAAGACTTAACACCTCACCAGGAGCAGATGTTCATGTTCTGCATAGGTGGGTTTTGCAGCTCAGGGTGCCATCCTGTACAAGTGTGGACAGATGGAAGTCTTCCCACTGCCAGCATGCTCCAGACAGCTACACTTTTTTCTGTCTCAACTTGCGTAGGATTGTATCCTCAGGGTATGAGCCAGGTCCTGAAATAGTTTCTAGACAATTGAGCCTTGAACGGAGGCAAAATAATTTAGCCACTGGCCTCACACATTTTTGAATGGATTGCCTAACACAGGGAAATGCGACACTTTCAAAGAATTGGGATGTTTATGTTACTAATCTTGACAGAAGACATACTAAAGAAAAGAAAACGTCATTTGCAAATGCATTCATTTTGCTCACCTTTTGAGTGATGAAACATCCTTTTATTCAATACACTCAAATTAAATGCCACTAATTTGTGATCTAATCATCACCAAATCAGGGTTTTTAAGGAAATTAATACTTAGATGTTATCTTTCTGATAATTAATTCAGTTTCCATCATTAGCTCATCCATTTTATTTATTTTCCTGTATTTTATAGATCCCATTATTTGAAAATTGGATCAGTTACTTTATTTACTTCTGAAAAAAAATTCAAAAAAGTAAAAAAATAACATTGTAAACTGATTTCTGACAGTGAAAATAGAAATCCCTTTCATTAAATTGTACATTTTCTTAAAACTGAAAGACTCTGGTGGAGTAATTAAACTAGGCAAAAACCTTAATCTGACTTCCTGGAAGGCAAGATTAAGATGTACATGTAGGTCAGCTTTTCTCAACATGTTTACCTTGGAGGAACCTTGAAGTAATTTTCATGGCTCAGGGAACTCCTGCATTAAAAAAGTAACAATGTACTATTTATTTAAGTTTTGGAACCAATTTATACAAACATTAATTGTTATGCTGTTCAGATGATTGAAACGATTGAATAACTCGTGAATGGGTTTATATTATAAATACACACACATAGATGGGAAAACATGATGATGATTTTTACAACCTTTCTCTTAACTCCCAGCAACTTTTCATGGAACCTGAAGGTTCCAGAGAACTCCAATTAAGACTTAGATTCTTAGATATAAATCCAAACGTGATTCAGTGGGGCTTACTGCCCTCCCCAAAAGCAACCGAACAAACTCCTGCAAAGAGCTGGATTGCACAAATGCACTCTATGCACTTTGCTCTGTGTGAACTTGGATGATTGTAGCAGTCCTACAGTAATGTACTGGGATGTATCTAACATCAGTCTAATTAAGCCCCATTCATATCAGTGGGTCTACTTTAAATGGGATTTGCATTGGAGACAATCCAGAGAGACGCAATTTGAGAGGTTTTTTTTTTTTTTTGGTGGGAGGTAGTTTGAATGTCCCAGCTTGAAAGAAACATGGACTTCTGTTAGAACTAAAGCAATTTTCAGATGAGCTCTTAGAAAGTATTGAGCACGGTTGTCTAGCTCAGCTGGCATAAAGTTTGCATTCCATTTTCACCCTCTGTAGATTGACCTCTGAA